CCTGATGATGGCAGATGAGATTCTGCCGAAACGTTGCTACAACTTTAAAAGCACAACTATAATGATGTGGGAAAATACCCAAACAAAGCTGAATAACATACATACATACATACATACATACATACATACATACATATTCTGTATTTCTTATTTCATGCTTTTTGTAGTTTAGTGTTGTCAGAATTTCTCTATTTCTATACATTCTATTGTAATGTTACATTTTGGTGTCTGGTGCTTAATATACATGATTAAAAAAATGGAAAGAGACGGGAATGATTAGGCTCGAGAAGAGGGGATTGAGAGGGGATAAGCTGTTTTCCAAAATCTGAAATTATGCTAGTGTTTCTTAAATATTTTCTTTTCTTTCCTACTTTTAAAATCTATGGAGAACCACCAAAACCTTTTGTTTATATGTATTATATTTATTGAGATTCACCATTTTAAAATTGATTCTTTCACAGAAGCCTGTTGAATCATGTAAAAATATCAAAATTAAATAGATATTAATGTGAATATTATTCATAAAAAACTCTATTTTTAAAGAAATAAAATGTAATAATGAGAAGAGACATTGTTTTAGATTTTTGCAAATATATTCAACTAGCTCAATACCCGTGCTTTGCTACGAAACTATGTGGTCGGGCTTAGTTTTTTGGGAGGAAAATAAGGAAAAGAAAATTCTGTCTCTGCCTACCAGCATCCATCGGTATTCATCTGGCTAGCGTCCTGTCAGTGTGAGAGTTGAAGGCTGTTTGGAAACTGAAACAGTATTTGCTGTGTGTGCAAGAACAAGACAGCAAGGAGCCGTGGTGTGGCTTAGCTCAACTGTTCAGTACTAAAGCTGCTTGGTACTATGAAACTAAAACTGAAACTGAAACTCCTCTCCTCAGTTTGTGTTTTGCATTTGGAACAGATTTCTTTTCAGGTGGAGAGGGGGAGTAGAACTCCTTAGCATCAGAGCATATTTATAATAATATATGAAATACTAATGCTCTGATGGTCATTTTGAAAAATCCTTTCTTAGTGAGCACCTAGAAACCAGAGGAACAAACATGCCAAATGTCAAGTTTCCAGATGACAGAATAAATGGATTTAAACTGTACAATAATAATTTCTATAATTTCTATAATATATAAGAATGGTTAACAGTGGTTCAAAATTGGAACCAATGACCCAGTGAAATGTTAGGCTCCACTTTACTAGAGGCCTTCAGCTCAAGGCTACATAGGCATTTGTCCGAGGTGATTTATATTGCTTTCTTTATTGTTTAGGATTTCATTATTATTGGTCCAGCATACATTCGGGTTGAATAGCAATTTTAAGTATTACTCCTCCTATTCTTATTTGATTTATTTATTACTTATTTATCTATGGCTTTATTTAGGTTTTTTTAAGCAACTTTACTGTGGAGTGTGTGTGTGTGTGTGTGTGTGTGTGTGTGTGTGTGTGTAATTTATTTTATGATTGATTGTTAGGTACCAAGTCCTGAAGGAAGGATATGAATGTTTAAACTCACCATGAATCATATGAATTATTATGAATTAGTAGAATTATTAGCTGCTTCACACCATTATGTTCCAAGGAATTTTTGAAACTCTGGAAATAATGAGTTAACTATTTTAAAAGAAAATAAGTTATTTTATCAATGACAGCTAAAGCAATACATTTTAGAAAACCCACGTTTTACAAGACCATGCCAAATACTCAGAAATATGGCAGTTTGTGCGAAGAGTCTCACTTTGAAATCTTAAAACAGCCGCATCCTTAGAAGACCTTTTCAACTTCCTCAAAAGCATGTTTTTGCATCTTGACCAATTTGTATGCCCAACCACCAACAAAATGGCTCTGCACGCAAACAGACATGCAAATAACTAGGAGATGTCTTCAAACCAGTTAATTCTACCAAAGGACAGAGTTTTTTCAGCAAGTTGTAGAGATATGTTTTCATCGTGCTTTAAAAAGCAAATGCTTTGCACGATGCTAAGGCTGAATACAGCATACTCACTCAGAAAACAGCAAGTATCATGGAATGCCAAAAGGCCTTACTAAATATTATTTCTAATATATATGTATGGAAAACTTACGTAGAAGTAATAAACACCCCATCAAAGATATACAGGAATATAAATAAGGCAGGTAGAATTCCCAAAGATCTGAAATTAAAGAATACTTTATTTAGTACATTATCTCATCCAATATACATGAAAGTATGAAAAAGAATGTTTTTGTGCAACATTCTTGTTAATAAAAATATTGTTGATTAAAGGCAATCACTGTCACTTCAAATGATTTTTTTTTAAATCGGAAAACTAATCTCTCTGAGAAGCACATATCATCTAGAAGACTCAGTCTCAATTTCTGGCCAAAACCAAAATACTTTTTCTTGCCCTCAATTACAATCTTTTCATTAGTATTTCCTGCATTTTTCAATTTATGATATTTTGCAGTTCTGATACTAAGAAACAAATAAATAGTCACTGTTATCCCACGCGACAATTAGCTCAAATTCAATCCCAAGTGAAACATAAGATGGGAAGAAATAAAAATATTTTAAAAGCTTAGAATTTAAGTTAGCCTATAAAAAAAAAACAGAGGGTTTTGTCTAATGGCTACTCGATTACCTTTCTTTAGAAAAGCAGAACATAGGAAAGATTTTCTTACCATACAACGACTCCATACTTGCAACATCATTGTCAATGAGAGCTGAAGCTACCCATACAATTCCAAGAATAAGCAACGCAAGAAGAATGAGCATAACAAGGGTTTCCAAAATACGTGCTTTGATTCCCTATTTTTAAAAAAATGCACATAGTAAACAAGAAATAGATACAAACATAGATATATTGACACTCACTTAAAATGTGCTTTTTGAGGAACCAACTAAAATTGAAATACCTTGGAGAAAAAATATATAGAAAAAATATAGAAATATAGAAAAAATTACAATCCTTAATGTACTATTTTAACTTCATTTTCTTTAAAGTTAATCATATTAGTTTCACAAAGGCTTTTTTCATTAAGACATTCAATTTGGTAGCTATGTCAGCAAGCAATGCTTTGAGTTTCAAACAAATAATAATAATAAAGATTTGTTTCCTATCACAGCAAATCACTCTGAGAAATTAATATGTACATTATGGCAAATTCAGTTACAAATTTTCTTACAACAATACTTTTTAAAAAGTTATCTTCTCCATGTAATAGCGTCAAACAAAAAGCCATTATAAAATCTAGAAAATAATTTAAAAAAATATCACTCAAATAACTTCAACTTCTATTCCCACTGTACGTTAGTACTGGTGCATAAATGATGCCAATGTAACACTGCTCCTAAATCTGAAGAGATGAGTTGAAATTAGTTGAAGAGATGTGTTGTTATAGAGCAAAAGACAACCAACTCACATTAGAACTTCCAGTCCAAAGTTTACGGTGCCAAGATGCTAACAGAAGGGCTCCAAATTGCCTGTTAAGTACAGGTGGTCCTCAAGTTACGACCATAATTGAGCCCAAATTTAGAGCAATAGCAATAGCCCTTAGACTTACATACCACTTCACAGTGCTTTCTAGGTCTCTCTGAGCAGGGGTGGGATTCAACCGGTGTTACTACCGGTTCGGTGATTGTGTGATTTGCGCGCGGGTGTAGAGCTTTTCAAAAAAAAGCATCAGCTGTGCCTCCTGGACAGCTGACCATCCTCTTCTTTCCTCCATTTTCAACCTTAGCTGTGCCGCACAAAGCAGCTGACGTTGAAAAAGCAGGAAATAAAGGACAGCCAAGAGCCCGGGCAGACGAGTGGGCCAAACAGATGAAGAAAAGGTCGTAGCAGTGAACCAGTTCGATGTCTGCTGCTCTTCAGAGCTACTGGTTCTATAGAACCGGGCTGAACCGGTAGCATCCCACCCGTCTCTAAGCGGTTTTACAGAGTCAGCATATTGCCCCAATAATCTGGTTCTCCATTTTAACGACTTCAGAAGGATAGAAGGCTTAGTCAACCTTGAGCCTGGTGACATTCGAACTGCCAAACTGCTGGCAGCTGGCAATCAGCAGAAGTAGACTGCAGTACTGCATTCTAACCACTATGCCATCACAGTTCAATGTTGCTAAGTGCAACATTTGTTTAATGAGTTTTGCCTCATTATATGACATTTCTTGCCACAGTTGTTAAATGAATCACTGCATTTGTTAAGTTAATAACAAGCTTGTTAAATGAATCTGGATTCCCCATTTACTTGTCAGAAGGTCGCAAAAGCAGATCATATGTCCCCGGGACTGCAACAGGCATATATATGAACCAATTGCCAAGCAACTGAATTTTGATCATGTGACCTTGGGGAATGCTGAAATGCTCACAAGTGTAAAAAATAGTCATAAGTCACTTTTTTCAGTGCCATTGTAACTTTGAATGGTGACTAAATGAATTATAAGTCAAAGACTACCTGTACCATAATTTAAAATCAAGCACAGTACCTACATTGAGATAACTAACAGTAGGAGCAAACATTATATATTTGCTGTCCATGGCTCAAGTAATAGGAAATTTTTGGAGATCATTTACACTCTAGGACGGTGTTTCTAGCTAGCCAGCAATGGGTATTGACCAAAATTGTCACAGTTATGAAGCAGGCAATTTACAGTGTTAACAGCAGGTTTTAAAATGTATTTTTGCATATTGTGAAGTAGTGTTGTCACCAGGTTTGTTAAAATGCTAACCTAATTTTATGCACCGTTATGCATTCATAAATGTATCTATTCAGCAACAGTCTGTCACTTGCATATTAAAACATAAGGCCAACCAGTTTCATTTTTAAACAGAAAATGTTTTCAGAATTCAATGTAGAAAAGATAGCAGTGATAGGGTTACAGTTGACATACAGCACCTGTTTCATTTTGTAACAAATGAATGCTGTATCTTTTTGTAACAAACATTAGGATCAAAATATTACTCAGGCTAAATTTCCTTGAAAAACTCCCAGCAGGATTCTTCCTTTTTGTTTCTCCAATATCTAATTTCCTTTCATTCACAGATGCTCTACCAAGAACATCTATGTGCCACTAACCCTAAGCAGCATTTCCTTAATCCTTTATTTCCAGCAATTTATGGATTGTCAATGGCAAAAAATTGAAGCTTCTTAGATGAGAAGCAAAACGTCTTCGAAGAAAAAACAAAGTCCTGTTGCCACTGAAAAAGCACTTTTGGGACAACCATGACCTAAATGACTGAGAATCTCCATAGACATTAAGCAACCCTAATGAAGGAATGCAATGAAGCGTCATTGAGACATATTTCTTTTTACTTCCTACTTGTTTTTCTGTCTCTTTAATACTGAAGGCCTGACATTAGCTATAAAAGGGGATTAAAGTCATCTGGTCATAAATATAGTGCAGTCACTTTTATGTAAGTTAAACCAGGAGATTTTGGGCTCAATTGTGGTCATAAGTCAAGGATTATCTGAATACCAATTAGTACCTCCAACTTATCCCCGGGGTCAACTTCAGATATAAGGATTTGCATCTACCCACCTTCAACTATTCACTACCAAAGTCTCCTTATATTTCCTGTACTATCAACTGCCTGACTCCCAGTTGTTGGGAGAACATGAGTAGGAAGATTACATTCAATTCATGTCCTATTTGTAGGCTTCAGTATAATAGTTATCAGAATGCTATACTGAAATAAATGTGTTTTAAAATATATTCAGCATGGCCCTCATGTTCTTTTTGAGAAACCCTTTCATGAAAGGAATAAAAATCAATTCTATAGGTAAGGATAAAGAATAGATAAGGAAGAAAACATATCTGAAGACTTCCCATTCATATCTCCTACTGTTTTTGCTATGATTAATCCTTTAACAGTATAGAGAATTTGAGTCCACGTTAGATTTCTCCCAGATTTTTTTCAGGTTAGTTGCCAAATTGTTTGATTTCTTAATGTAGCTGCAAACTTCTACAGAAAGTCAAACATTCCCAAAACAGTAGAATAAATGTATACTGATAAGATTTATTGTTGCTTTATGAGTACCAGACTGTTTAGCAACCCAAATCAGAAATCTTGGTTTGGAAATTATAAAGTAAGACTTCTAGATTGATTTTATCTACTTGCATGGAGAACAGAGGTAAGAAGCAAACAAAGTACTGCCTCAGCAGACTGTTCATTTGCAGTGAACTAGGATAAACCAGACCATCTGAAATATCAAAATGGAACAGGGAACTCTAATTGACAAGGTTAAATGAATGCTGTAAAAAGGAAAATAGGATCAAATTCAGTCTGATTGAATTTTGAATAAAGTGACATGTAATAGTCACAAATGTATTATGAATTTATTATTCAAGTTAATGTATATGAAAATCTGAGTGCTGTCTGTATTTAATGATCTGTGCTTACACCTGCACTTCTCCTCTTTCAAAATGTTACACCATATCGTATTATACTTATTCAATAGTAGAAACCATACTAAAAATAGTTAAATATTTGCAATTTGTTCATAACTCTAATGTAAACAATGGGGGATTTTTACTTCATTTTTACTACTATATGTTAAAAAAAAACTATAGGTAAATCCTTGACTTTCAATCATTCATTTAGCAACCATTTAAAGTTATAATGGCACTAAAAAAAGTGACTTACAACCAGTACTTGTATTTACAATGCAGCATTCCCCATGGTCAAATATTGTTGTTGTTGTTTTTTTATGGCTGCAGCATCTCAGGGTCATATATATAATAGCTACATGTGATCTTCCCACTTAAGCTTCCCACAAGCAAAGTCAATGGGAGAAGCCAGATATACTTAGGAACTGTGTGATTCATTTAACAACTGCAGTACCTCACTTAATAACCATGGCAACAGTTGGCACCTCACTTACCAACTGTCTTTCTTAGCAACAGAAATTCTGGTCCCAACTGTGGTCCTACGTTGAGGACTTCCTCTATTGTACAAGTCAAATTCTATTAGATTTAGCTCAAACATAACACCTTTACCATAGATTTTTACAGCTTGCCCTTTTTTAGATAAAACTTTGCCAGTGATCACATGGTATCAATAAAGGAAAATATTTGTAGCTCAGGGTTGAAGTTGGGGGGGTCCTGGGTGCTCTCTGAACTTTGTTTTCTTGCAGATGTTTCATTGCCCAAATTAGGTAACATCATCAATACCAATTAGGAGTGAGGTTTGTGTCAGTTGATATTCTGGTGTCAATGTTAACACATGTCAGTATTGGTGAAAAAGGTCTCAGAAGTTCTTTGGTTGAGCTATTGAGCAGTCTTTGAACTGCTGAAAGTACTATGTTGTGGAGCTGTGCTTTCTGCAGGATGCTTCGGGCTGAGATGCAAACAACACAGTCTCATCCCCAAACAACCGGCACCTGTGCTCAATAGTGCAGAAAGCGCAGCTCCACAACACTGCTCTTTCAGCAGTTCCAAGAAGGCTCCACGCCCATTTGCACTACTCACGTGACCCTGAAGACATGGACAAATCAATGACTTTCTAAAATAATGCAAATGACCAGCAAGGAATATAAATCCTTCCATTCTACACCATCCAAGTCAGAGCTTCCTGGATGAGAAGCAAACCTTCTTCAAAGAGTCCAGTTGCCTTCTGAAAAAGCACCTTTGACACAACCATGACCTGGATGATTGAGAATCTCCATAGATATTGACATGATGATGATGTTACCTAGTACTCTGACAAAACATCTTTAAGAAAACAACCAAGCTCAGAAAGTAGCAAGTATCCCCCCCCATCACATGGTATTTCTGTTATCCCGTTCGCTGAATATATAATAGCTACGCACCTTTTTTAAGCCAGCAAAGCCTTCCGACTCCAGGAAGAAGAAAGCAAAGGGCATCAATATGAACAAACAAAGATTAGAAAAGAGAGAAGCAAGATTCCATAAACCTAAACAAAACAAGAAAATAAATATATCAATATATTGTTTCTCAAAGGCAGCAGAATTTTAAACATATCCCAGAAAAAAATTACTTTTAATTTTTTCCCCTCTTGGCAATCTTTTAAGATGTAAACACAGCAATTTTAGATGGTCTTGAAAACATTTCTGGTTCTGTAAGCTGTATTTTTTTCATGCAAAGTATTTGTCCACAAATTAAAATGCATTCTCAAATGCTGACCAGACATGCTTGGTAATTACTAGCTTTCATATGTTAGCAGCAGAATCACAGAATTTATCCTGATATATTCACTGCTCTGAAGATTTAAGATTCTACAGTAGATATTAGAGCTCGGTATGTTTCATGAGGTGTTTCAAGGTGTTTCAAAATAGGTGAAAAGTCTTTTCAGGTTTCTAAAAGCAAATGCAGCTATTTTAAGGAGTCACATTAAAGGCAAAGCAGCTGCCTCTTTTACATTCCCATGCTCCCACCTCCAAATAATTCTTAAAGCATATTATGTATCACACTGAATACCAAACGCAAATGTTAACCCTTCTATTAGCTATCAAACATTGCCTGATTCTTTGAAAGTTACTACTGGAAGCACAACTGACTCATTTAAAGTTCTAAATAAGACTATGACCCAAGCAGTTCAGGCAAAAACTGCATGAAAAAAAATCCTTCACAGAATATCCTGCATGCATAATCTGTTTTAGACTATGCCTGATATACTGCTATTACTACTACAGGACACAGATTTACACACCTATCTTTGAACCATCATAACAATCCTCTGAAGATAATTCTTTAACATCAAAAGAATGTGTAACACAAGGTGACATACAGGTTGCTGAATGTATTAAGAGAAAAATATACGTCTGTCTAATGAGAAAACTACAGTATATCAGAAATTTTATCAATAAGCACAAAATTATTGCCAGCTTCTGTCTGATGCAGTATCACATTAAAGTATTTATTATTAAGAAAAAGTGAAATTAAGCATTTCACCAGCTCTGATAAAGCCTCAGCCTTGCCTACAATCCTTTCAGGCATGAAAGTATACACGTCTGTGTATCTGTGAGCAATTTGTACTATATTCTATCTCCATCTGCTGGACACATATGAAATAGAAAAAGAAACATTAATATTTGGCAAATGTATTTTTAGAATTTCAGGGCTTCTTAAACCATTTTTCCCTTTGTTTTGTATACTGAGATTTAAAGCTGAACACATTTATCTGGGGTGAGGTATTTCCATTTTGTCTTTACTTTAAAACAACATACATATTGGGTTTGTCAAAATAATTATATAAAAATGGCACAATCATTACAAATTCATACAAATACAAATTCAAACACACAAACACTAGGTTTAAACATTTCTTAAGATTTTGAAAATAAATTCTGATTAGAAAAATAGCTATATCAATTATTTCATACTGGTTGCGAAACTCCTTTAAAAATATCTTCCATGGAAATATGAGTAAGAAATAATTGTAAAAATAATCCATGTCATAATGACTGAAGACCACCAGGGAAACATATGCAATCATACCTCGGAATTCGACTCATCAAATTTGTGGCTCAAAACATTTGGATGGGTGAAAAATTTGGCACCTGTCATTTGTTTGGTACTTGACACACAAGCTAGAACTTGTTGGTGTAAGCTGCCTCTGACTTACTACCCTTTCCAGATGAAACAAAGGGTCACGTGTAAAGTCACATGGTTTGTTTGGTCCTCATCACGCCTCCAGGAACCAATTAACAATGAGTACCAAGGTACCCCTGTATTCTAACTTTACATAATGTTCACTTCCAGTATTTGAAGATGTTGGTTATATTACTGCCTATTAAGAAAATTCACACACAATCTCCTTATATGGCTTCCAAATTCTATTAAAATAATCAGATCCCACACATCATTAATTTATTAAACATCCTCCAAGTACCATATGTTTCTAGTCCACTTTATTCCCACAACCGTCTTCCATACCTGTATAATTCTGATAAGAGGCATATACAGGTAGTCCACAATTTACAACGACAAATGGTACTAGAATTAAGAAAGACGATTGTTAAATGAGCTGCCCCCAATTTTATGACTTTTTTGCCACAGCTCTTAAGGGAATAGTTGCAGTTGTTAAGTGAATCATACTGTCATTAAGCAAATCTGACTTCCCCCCTTGATTTGCATGTTGGAAGGCAGGCAAGAAGGCCATATATGGTGATCACATAACCTTGCAACTCTCAGAAATGCATACTGGTGCCATGTGCCCAAATTTTGATCATGGGGGGGAGGGTGCTGCAATGGTCATAAATGCGAGGACTGGTCATAAATTGCTTTTTCAGTGCCGCTGTAACTTTAGATGGTTGTAAATTGAGGGCTACCTATATGCTACCTTTAAAGGCAATGACAAGCTATAACATATTACAAATTCAAGTAGCAATATTACATGATGTCATACTAACCATGAATTAGAGAACCATTCAACCACTGGATATAGTAACTTTGTGGAAAAGAAAGCAGAATCTCATTGCTAATTATTGAAAAAGGTAAGAGGAGCACAGCGCCTGCTGAAACTGCAAGAGTAAAAGTGCTTAGGAACAGCCTGAAACACAAAGAGGTAGTATTTTTAGTCTCTTTCAAACACTTTTAAAACCAACAGAAGCTTAAGCAAATATTTTATTTAAAAGCATAAATAAGCTACCATGCTTCAAGTGGAATAAATGCCGTATAATTTGCATCAATTGAAGAAATTTTTCTGCAAATATAAGTGAACCTATGTTAAAAATAAAATCCTATGAGGCTGATACTCTAGTAAATTTCTCGATGCTGATTCACCATATAGTCGTCTATATTTCACCTACAGGTTTAAATTTTTTTTAAAATGTGTACTTCCCAACTAGGCCAGCTCAAGCAAGCAACATATGTCCAGAGTTAATGAAAGCACTCCCTCTACCGGAGAAGACCAGAACTGGGCTTATCAATCCCCCCCAAAAAAGCAGACATATTATCTCAAAAGTCAAGGACTGCAGCAGCTTATTTTGTAGGCAAATGGATGCTAATCTCTTTCAGATATCTATTCATCACTCTGTAATAGCTTTGTTCCCTATGTCATCCATCTGATAAACTCGCAATATTTGGGTTCTTGCCATATACATGTACATATCCGAACTACTGGGTTGTTTCTCTCTGTCATATATTTGTGGGTATGTGGGTATATGCATAATCATCTATCTATCTATCTATCTATCTATCTATCTATCTATTTTGTCATGTTTATGTAGTGTATATTGGAAGTGGTAACCCTTTGAGAGCTGCATGCAACAACATTTCATTTTAATGTATGCCAAGTGTCCATTTAAAGTGACAATAACGTTATTATAAATTTAAATCTAAGCCACTCACGGGAAGCCCAACAGTGAATTTAAGGAAAATTTAAACAAGTTTCTCAGAGATAATGATGATGAACAATTGATAAAAAAGAAAAAAACAACCTCTCAGTAAGCATATCTATAAGCAGTGCATATAAAAGCTTTTTTGATATCAGCCACAGATTTTATTGGGGGAGAGATTAACTCATTAAAAATCCAATTTTAAGTAAAGCAACTGATATTTGCTTAGGATGTTTTTTTCCTTAATATAACCCAAATAGAAAACAATCCAATATATTTTGATCCTATCAAGCTCTTAGAGCAAAGTCGATAACTGAAAAGTCCCAGCTACGTACATGAAACTTCTAACCCCTCTTCCCGATTCAGATATTTTAGAGTTTCTGCAATTCTTCAGGAATTGTAACTGTCTTCTGGAAGATAACCAGAAGAACTGCAGTAACTTGAACAACTGAATGTACCTAGCTTTGCAGTTACCGACTTTGCTTCAAGAACTTGACAGGATTAAAATACAATGGTTTGTTTTCTATATAAGGGGGGAAACATCCAAGTGCATTTTCTAGAGCTATGCACAGTTCAAAAATGTTTAAGGAGAACTTGTACAAGCAGCGCATTTTATATGTGTGAGAATCCTTAGGCTTTTGTAAGAAAAGAAAAAAGGATTCAATTCTTTAAGGAATTAAAAGCTCTTAACAACTATCAGAAAGCTGTTTGATCAAAGAAGTCTGAGGACACTTCTTCTACTTACTCATTTTGAAAAGCTTCTGAGAGAAAGAGATGGAATAATTTAAACAATGAATTTTGACTGCAAACTTTTCATACACAGCAGTGGCCAGAGGGTTCTTCCATAATGGCTTTTCTATAATAAAGATATATCTGAGAATCTATGCTCTTAGAAATCTATTCTTGTCAGCTGAGAAGTGCCCGATACTTTTACCACTGAAAGTGGGTGGGGAAGGCTTCTGGACTCATATTCATATTGAAAATGTATATTCATATTGAGTGAGAAATGTAATAGATTTGCTTCCAATTCCAAAAAAAAATGTCATCAGGCCAAAAGACTGGTATTTTGAGACAGAGAACAGTAGCTATTGCAGCTGCTTCAACCATAATTACAGAAAATTGCTTCAGCCATAATTGATCAGATAAGATACAGGAGATACTGGCTATAATAGATTCTATTCTACTGTAGAATAGGAACTCCTATTCTAGTGAGTTCCATATCTGGCTGAGGGCTTCATTTGGCCTGGCTCTGATACTGGAGCAGGACACTGGTATCATAACTGACATGGGTTGCAAAATATCTGTAGCCACAATGTAATCTTTAGTCTAGTATAGATCTCCTGCCATTAAAAGTTAAGGATGGGCAAATCCAGAGATCATACTTCTTCCTAGGTCCAGATGTAAATCACAGCACTTTGTGAATATGGGAACACCTTAGTCCCATATTCAAGCTTTGAACTTACTCAACAAAAGGCTCACAATGGTTAAATAACGTGTGTATCTTTCTTATACCCAGGGAGGGTGTCATATCTAGGCAGAAAATGGCATACAGAAATCAGAGCGTATGTTTAAAATTCTAGATTTTTTTTCGGAGTTTATTTCCTTCCCAAATCAATAGATACTTGGCCATTCCTCTGATCCCCTTGGAAGAAAGTTGATCTATATCACCGTAACTTGGGAAGAGATGGCTCCTGGGCCTCCCTTGTTAGTTTATTTATTTAAAGAAATTAAAGTTGGAATGATTGAAGGAATATTTTAGAAATTTATATGGGAATGATAGTGATATCTCATGGAATGGAACTGAATTAAACACCATGTTACCATTCAGTAAAATACTAGATATCATTGTTAAAAAATAATAAGATTGCAATTCAGATCACATATAGAAACTGTTAAATGGGATTTGCTTATGGAATGATTGTGTACATTTAATATATATGTAAAGACTATATTGGGCCAGATAATTTAAAGAATACTATTCTATTTTCCTATACAATGGGAAAGGCACAACACCGAATGCAAAAATGACAAAGAGGTTGATTTAATGTGTGCTTGGGGTGGTGTTTCACAGAATTATTATCAAAAAGGTGAAAAAGGTAACAATAAGCAAAATTTGGAAAGTTTGGTGTACGTTTTCCACTAAAAATCAAACTGACTGTTACCATATGATGGGTATCAGAGGAATTGAGGATTGCCACTGATTTATTAAAGACAAAAACCAGAGCAAATAGATAATTTAATGTATCTTGGTAGAACATTTTTTAAAGGCGGGATGATGGACAAATGTTAAGGTGTGCAAAGGTTGGCAGATAAGTAGTGGACAGTGCATTGATGGTTACAAAAAATGAATACTTGTTGGGGGGGATTGGTATATAGGACCATGCCTATATCCTGCCTCTTTTTACTACATGGAAGTGAGAGCTGTGTTTTTCAGGAAAAACATAAAATCAACTGAATAATTCAGTGGCAGTTGAGTACTTAAATCTGTGTTAACAAAAGTTGATAAAGAGTTGAAATTATTAGGTGCTGACTGAATGTGAGGTGAATACAAAAATGTGGGGCTGGGATGAAAGAAATACACTGAAGTGGTGTGGTCAAATAGAGAGAACGAATGTGGATCAGATTGCAAAACAAATATATAAAAGAAGAATCAATGAGTCAAGAGGAAGGGGAAGCCTGAGAAAGTTATGGTTGAAGAGAGCTGATGAAAGGGACGTTTGAAGGACAAAAGACCATATCTGAAGGAGTATGTCGATGTGGTGGAAAAACGGATGGTTCGAAAGGACAGAAAGATATGAAGGGATGTACTGAATAGTTTGGGCAGATGGCATGTTTTAACCATCTCTTCTTTTCTTATACCTTTAATTCTTTAGCTTACTATCTCTGTACTCTGTATAAGGTGTCGCCAACCTTTTGGACCTCAGGGACCACCAAACTCGTAATTTTAGATCCCAGGGACCACTAACCGGTTCTGAATTTTGAATTTTTTTTATAAAAAAAGAGCAACTTTTACCCAAAATCAGGCAAAGCAGGCAGGCAGATTGAGTTGCTCACAGAATCACAGATTCATTCAGAGATCGATCTATCTGCCATTGGCTAGTTCAGTCTGTCACATAAAATTTGCTTGCAAGCAAACTCATAAAATTTGCTTAGCAAACAAACTCACAAAATTAACTCACAACATACCATGCATGTAAATATTGATTTTTTTTATAAAAAAGAGCAACTTTTACCCAAAATCAGGCAAATCAGGCAGATTGAGTTGCTCACAGAATCATTCAGTGATCGATCTATCTGCCATCGGCTAGCTCAGTCTCTCAAATTTGCTTGCCATGAAGTCTGCACTGAATTTGCTTGCAAGCAAACCTTCAGTCCTAAGGGAGGTTTGGCTGTGCTTAGCTAGAAAGCAAGAAATCCAACCATTTCCTGCTTCCTAGCTAATCTAAATGTCCCAGCACAGCAGAACAAATGATGGTCTGAAAAAGGAAAAATAGCAACTTAACAGACAAGTTTGCCGGGTAAGGAGTGAGTGGGCGGGGAGGGTTCCTGCAGGCCATGTGGGCTGAGCAGCCTTGTGTTTCTGCACAGCCTGGATTAATTGCTTTGTGGGGGTGCTCTGAGGGTGAGATTTCTCTGCGGCCCACCAAAATTTTCTTGCGGCCCACTGGTTGGCAACTGCTGCTCTGTATAACATCCTTACCTGAAACGGAGCAGATGATAAATACTGATTGATTGATTGATTAAATTTATTGGTCACCTAGCTTACACAGGGTAGTGATAATCAAGACATCTCATAAATGTTTCAGATCGAGGAATAATGAAATCCAAAAAATAAAAAATCTGTTATTAAATATTCCATTATGAAAAACTGAATATAAGAAAGAAGTAGGTTTTTTAAAATTCCTATGTGCGTTTGGGGTTTAGGGTAATAACAAAATTTAAAAGCTTAGTCACATGAAAAGGAAAAAAAGCCAATTCTCATAATCGGCAGGATGAATGGTAATGATCATGACAAACAGCTGTCAGAAATGGCACAGGAGGAAGTAGCTATTTTCACTAATTTGCTAATAGCTTTGATTTATAATGTCTTGTTCACTACCTGAAGTTTGAATAAAGCAATTAGACCAATAATTTCATTTTGATAAAACAGAAAAAAAGCTCAAAATATGTTATATTTTTGTTCCTGTATATTACCAAACTAAGTTTCACATTTTCAGAAAAGGTATTTAACCAATATAAATTAGTGTTTTTGCTATAGTTAGTGTATAAAAGCTGGCAAATTTAAATATATATCAGAACCATAACCTTATGCAATGTAGTTCAGGCAAATCTTCCAAAAGGAGATGCTGATCATTAATAATCCAATAGGATAATGCATGATCATATTATACTTAACTAAATAGCCATCCACACATGTTTCTCACATTCTGATGGAAGGTATCACTATGCAAACAACAGGGAAATAATTGCAGGCCTAAGGTCTTAACCCAGAGGGATATTTTGACAGGTATAGCAACATAATCCCAGTCATTATTTCTAAATAGGAAGTACAATTCTTTATCCAATCACCAAAAAAAGTTTGTATAAAAATGCAATCTCAGCGTTTTAAAAAATAATTAAAAACAAATAACTAAATATAATCTGCACATTACTGATTTACTTTAAAAAAAAACTAAACATCATCATCTATGTATTACATTAGTAATGGTGTATATGTAATTTCCAAAAGAACCTGCATAGTTCAACACTCTATTTTTAAAAAATCCATCAAACCTTGGATATGGACCAAAGAGAATATGGATCAAAGTGAATTTTCAGCTAAGGGCTGAATATGTTTCCAAAAGACAAGACTGGCATCTGATGAACTTTCACTAGTTTGTACATATCTTTTTATTTATTTCAATTTATTTCATGCCCTATTTTGATAGCTGAATTATTTTTCTTTTAACTATTACATTGATTTAATTGGAACATCTACTTTCATTAATGTATAAGCACTAAAAAGGTGAATAATTTTTTTACATAGAAATCAATAAGTGGCTAATAATTTTAGAAGTGCCTTCCATATTCTAAGCCCTTTGATTTTCTAGGGAAGATGGTCTGCATCAAATTTAGAACTCACTCATTAAAACTTTTGTACCCAAGTCACATTGTTTTCAACAGATTTGCCTTAAATAAAACTAAATCTGGAAAGAACAAGCTATCTTCACATGTGCTCCTCATATACCTATTTTGTTCACACATAAATGTGAGCAAAATAGAGTGGTGCGGTGGTGTCCTAGAGGTGGAGCTCTCACTTCACGATCAGAAGTGAGTGAGTTTGATCCTAGGGAGAAGCAGATATTTCTCTCTCTGGGCACAACGAAAATATATCTGCTGAATATAACTCCGCATTGGCAACAGGAAGGGCATCCGGCCAGTAAACACTCAGCTCCATTCAGTTGCCCAGACTCCACATCGCAAGGGATTATTAAGGGGTCATTAAAAGGAGATGATGACAAATGTGAGCAGAACAGCTATGCAAAATAGATGCTAGTATTGTATTTTATTTAGAAATGCTTTCCAAACAATGTAAACATTCAGCACTACTACAATCAGCAATGCTTATCATCCTGAACCATAAACAGGGAAATTCTTTCTTGAGTTGCTATATTTGCATAGTTCTGAAATCTACAGAGAAAGTAAAGATATACATACGAAATTCTATTGACAATAGCATCTTCATCCTCTTGCTCATCTGAAAAAAAAAATGCACATTTTAGATTACATTTGGTACCATGGCCATTGTTAAGTGTTTTACTTCTTGTCTAATAGCAATTGGCAAAGAGAATATGTAGCATGATCAAAGTTTAAAATGCACTTGTCTTTCATTCTAATATTTGGCTGTCCTTTCACAAATTTCAAATTCATGCGGGTAGGGGGGTACTGTCATCTTTGACTCTGCAGTCTTCACTAACGTGATGTTCCACCAATGTTTGCATTAAAATGTTCTTTGCTAAAAGGTTTAGCAATGGAATTGCAAGCTGTTTAACCTTAAGTACTTGAGAATTATTTAGATGTCCTTGGTCAATCATATAGTATTGCATAATACTCTATCATACAGTAGAGTAAATTAAAAGATGCTATTATCAGGACTTAGAAATGTTCATCATCACAGAGCAGCAATTCAATGACATTAGATGCAATAAAATGAGAATGGCAATTCTGAAAGAATAGACACATAATGCTCAAGTATATCCTGATTTATTCTTGTTGATTTTAATCCATAAATTTGAAATATTCAATAGTCAATGGTCACTATTCAAAATCCGACTTCTGGTTTGCAAATCTTATATCCCATGTGGGAGAAAAGCATATATGCTGCGATAACACTTAGAAGATAAAGCATGCCTCTAATACAATGAAGAAGGAAAATTACATTTGGATAATCATGAATAGAATTTAATATTAAATTCTTTAAAATATATTGATTTATTCATGTAACATAGCTGTAAATTACATTGGCTATTTTGAATTCTTATTTTACTAGCGGCATCATACTCACGCAACTATTCATGAAATATAAACAAAGCACTTGGAAGTAATTTGGTAGCTAGGTGGCAGTATAACACAAAAATCTTGATTTTCTTTTGAACAGACAGTGGCCAGAGAAAATATAACACAAACTCCATTTAACAAATCAAAGAACATATTAGTTAAAATTACATCCTATAATTTGGTTCTTGGATATTGTTTTTTTATACCATGGAACTGTCCTACAGAGTTCAAAAGGAACATTTCTGGACTGGTCATGGATCCAGATCTAAAGAAATCATTGATTAGGATGCTTTCCTGATTAACTTGTATTCATTTCATAGACTAATTATTCAATAGAATAAAAAAAAAATCCTATCTTTAGTGACCAGAAAGAGAAAGCTAATTTACTCCTTAAAATATATGAATACTGTATCTATAAGATAATCAATTGCAAACAACCATAAAATACCTAAAGTAATAATTTGGTAATCCAGCTTATTTCTTATCAGTCTTTCCTGCGAAAAGTAATTTGCACATTGATGCACATTTTAACCTCCAATGAAAGATTATTCCTGCAAGGGACTCTCAAGCAGCCAGCTAAAGTGTAAGAGAGATGCAATAGTCCTTCTTTTCATACAACATAGCATCAAAGAGCATGCAACCATGGATAGTTAGAAACGTAGCTTCACAAGACTGTAATAAAATATATATATAAAAAATAAAGGAACATTATCTTTCTGTCAATAATACTGAATTACTCAAGCCATGACCATCAAATATCGAAAATATCCGCCAGGCTATCCCACCTCTTACATGGACGGTCTGAAGCTGCGTGGAAAAACATCATCTGAAATAGACTCGCTGCTCAGCATTGGACAATACATGAACTATGACTGCCATCAAACACAGAAAAAATAAGTGAAAACTGGAGGAATCAAGATGGAAATAATATCAAGAATCTGGAAGAAGATGATCACCACAAATACCTTTCAAGCTGACAACATCAAGCACAAGTGAAGCCAAGAGAAAGATTAAAAGTAAATATATCAAGAGAGTGAAGAAGTTCCAGTTCAATGGAGGAAATACTATCAAGGCAATTGACACCTGGGCAATTTCAGTCATTAGATACACAGCTGGAATAGTGGACTGGACTCAAGCAGAACTAAAAGCCCTAGATAGGAAGAGTAGGAAAATAATGACAATAAATCATGTCCTGGATCCTCGAGCAACATTGGCAAACTCTACTTCTAGGAAAATAGGTGGAATGTTGCAAGTATGTTCAGATGGTTGAAGAAGAAGGGGCGATAGAAGAATATCTGTTGGAGAGTGAAAAAGATGCACTGATGCTTGTAGACCAGGAAGGCTTACTGAATACTGGAAATGGCCTACAAGAAGGACCAAATGAAGGACAGAAAAGAGTCATGGGAAGATAGTGTATTACATGGCTAGTATATTAAAAAAAACAGGTAAAGTAGATAATAACAAGACTTGGCAATGGCTAAGGGCAAGAAAGTTACAGAAAGAGACAAAGGGGATAATTCCGATTGCACAAAACAACCCTTACAAACAAATGCATAGAAAGCAATAATTGAGAAGACAGCATAAGATAGCAAGTGTCACCCCTGCAAAGAAGTTGAAGAAATGGACTATCTGGTTATGTTGATGCAAGAAGATTGTACAGACTGACTACAAATAACAACATGACAAAGTAGCAACAATGATGCATTGGAATAGCTGAAAGAAATACCATTTGCCTGCAAGCAAGGATTAGTGGGACCATAAAATAGAAAAAGTAATAGAAAACAAGTAAGGTGAAGTACCTGAGACTTTAGAGTTCGAACAGATAGGCATTTGTCACTTAACACACCAAACTTGTCAATAACAAAGACAAAAAAAAAAGTCTGGATAGTGAATGTGGCAGTACCTGAAAACAGCAGAAGAGAAGAGAAGTGAAGAAGATAATTAAACACAAAAACCTGCAAATAAAAATTGAAAGACTGTGGCAAAAGAAAGCAAAAGTAGAACCAATAGTAATAGGCACTTGAGGTGCAATTTAAATACAACTGGAGCACCACTTGAACACCATCAGGATTGACAAATTCACCATCAGTCAGTTGCAAAAGGCAACTTTACTCGGAACAGCATATATCCTGTGGTGATATCTCTAATACCATAAAACATCAATCTCTGCCTATCCCAGGTCATCAAGAAGGACACAATAGGTGGATAAAATGCCAAATCCAGTCTATATGTCTGGCTGACTGTGCAATGAGCTTATATATTTTATATGTGGTCCAAAACAATTGATCTTCATTCATTGAGACCCAGCAAGCCAAAAGGTTCCCTCCCCCCCATGGAGAAAACTAACTTAATTTTAGGAGATCAAGGGATTTTTTTAAAGGGTAAACTGAATAATTTAAGCAGAAGATGTACATGTAGCAAGCTAATGAAAAGAGTTCAAAGAATACAGCCAAAAGATATTAGAAAGGGCATTGGTACTTACCTGATACACCCGTTCTCTGTGAGCTGTGAAGAACATCCAGAAGTGGGAGGTGCTTCAGTCTCTTCTGGAAAGGCTGGGCTTAAAACTCCGGGATGCTCCTCCTCCTCCATGGGACACCTCCTCAGCGTCCCCCAGTTTTGCGAAGACTGAGTGCCAAAGTCCGGGACTCATCACCTAATCTAGATCCCTGACCAGAACGGAACCCCACCAGACGGTGGGGCTGGATGCTCTTCACAGCTCACAGAGAACGGGCGTATCAGGTAAGTACCAATGCCCTTTCTCCCATGAGCTGTTCAGAGCATCCAGAAGTGGGACATACCAAAGCTTGGCCTGTCCTTAGGGAGGGACTCCGTCTGGATCGAAATCCACTCCTAAACTCTATGGACCCTCTGCAGGACTCTTCTGCCAAATGAAGCGTCCGCTGAGGCGTAGACATCAATTTTATAATTTCTGACAAAGGGCGATGGTGAAGCCTAAGTCGCCGCTCTGCAGATTTCGTCTATGGAAGCCCGAGTGGCCCATGCTGCTGATGTTGTCGCACTCCTTGTCGAGTGGGCTGTAATGCCCTTAGGAACTGAGATGGACTGGCATTCGTAACTTTTAGCTATGGTGGCTCTCAACCATCTACCAATGGTCGTCGACGACACCCTGTGTCCTAAAGTGGATGGGCTGAAGAATAGGAATAGAGCCTCAGATTTTTGAAATGCCGCCATGCGGTCTAGATAGATGCTTAGCGCCCTTCGAACGTCAAGTCGATGCCATTGATGCTCCAGTCTATGAGATGGTTTCGGACAAACATTTGGAAGCACCAACTCCTGCACTCTGTGGAAGGCTGAATTTACTTTAGGGATGAACGATGGATCCAATCTGAGAACCACTCTGTCCGCATGAAACACGCACAGGTCCTTTCTCATCGACAATGCTGCCAACTTGGAAATCCTCCTTGCTGATGTGATCGCAATTAAGAAGACCATCTTATATGTCAGGAATTTGAGACTAGCGGTTCTTAAAGGCTCGAACGGGCCAGTTGTAAGTGCAGTTAACACCTTGTTGAGCTCCCAAGTGGGATAGCGGTGAATTACAGGAGGTCGTAAGTTTGCAGCACCCTTAAGAAAGCTGCGGATATGTGGATGGTGCGCTATGGAACGAAGGTCACCCCAGGATATCACCGAGGCTAAGGCTGCCACTTGTCTGCGTAAAGTATTTGGAGATAGGCCCTTGGTCAACCCCTCCTGTAAAAAGTCCAATAATTGTTCTATTGATGGGGCAGTTGGGTCGATCTTAGGCCCCCAGCACCAGCGACAGAAAGCGGGCCACGTGGCCTCGTATATACAATTTGTAGAGGACCGTCTGGATGCTGGTATGGTGGCAATGGCATCCTCTGAAATCTGTTGGGGCCTTAAACGGTTCCGCTCAACCTCCATACAGCTAGGCTAAGCCATTGTGGGTCTGGGTGAAGTACCGGCCCTTGCGAGAGGGAAACCCTCAACGGTGGAATTTTCCAAGGTTGTTCTCTCAACAGGTCCTGTAAGTCCGCGAACCACATTCACCTGGGCCAGTAAGGGGCGACCAATATCAATTCTGCTCGTTCCTCCAATAACTTCTGGATCAACCTGGGTATTACAGGGAGTGGAGGAAAAGCATATAGAAGTCCGGGAGGCCAATGACATCGCAGAGCGTTGACGGCCTCTGCCCCCCGAGTCGGGTACCTTGAAATA